AATCAGCAAAACGACAAGTTTGAGACCATTCAATCTCGTGTCCCGTTTCTCTCCTGTGCTCAGCAAGCTCGGACTTTTGAACCTAACATCCTTTTTAGGCGCTTTTGTGTTCTGCTCCCCTTTGTCGAATGGGACGACAAGTCTCTCTAACATAAAAAAGACCACATGAACACATTATTTTGTAGCAACCCGATCTGGATAATGGGTCAACTTGCTCTCTAAAAGTGGGCACAACTGAAGAAAGTGTCGTAGCTTCCCTGAAGACCGTTTATATTCCCCACTTCCTTACTTGGTCATCTATCCTTTTAGACGACGCAACTTGTCTTTTCTTGCTTGGTTTTAATCATATACAATTCTCTTTACTTTTAGCTCACATTTTTTCACTTGCATTGAGACAAACGAAAAAGACCCAGCAACAACACAGACGTGTATCGGACCTTGCGCAATCGGAGTGATGGTTATAATAAAATGTAGAAATGGGGGAGATAAGGGTCATCAAACCTTGATGCCCAAAACAGACGTTCCTTTTTGCTGTCCTAATTACTTTGAGCCATGGGATTTTAGCCCGGATAGTACAACATATATTCTCGAAACATTATCTATTATGCCTCATTTATATGCGTGTCTTAATGCTATAGATTTAATGGCTAATACAACTTTACTTTAATTTCACTTAAAATGCAATATGTAAAAGGCCTCGTCGTCCTTGAAAATCATGGCTGCTCTGTGATCTAGGGAAAACCGTAATAATGTTGCGTAGTGGTTAACATATCGAGGCAAAACACTGTCTTATCTAAGGTCAAATCTCATTTGAACAACTGATATGACCTTAACTAGGCCAAACTACAGTCCATCCTAAAATATAGTGCCTTTTGGGAAGCAAGAATATGTTAATTAGGATGAAAACTTGAGGCTGGCTACGGTCATTACCTTATGCTAAATAGGGTAGAAAAGTTCTTATTATAAATTTACCGATGGTTTCAAAACATACTTTAATCGAATTTCTTAAATGCTACTATCCAGTTATGAAGATGAATGTTACGCAGCAAAAAAACTTAGCTCTTATTGGTAGGGCCCACAGGTTGGTGGACCAAGTTAATATTAGTAACTGAAGCTGCATCGATTATCTGTGAGGCTTATTTATAAATCCAGTTTGCCCGCTTTTCCAAAGAAGACCAGAGATATACTAACATTAACCTATTAAACGTGGCTTTGATACACTGCTTCTTTTCATATAAATAATGATAAATCAGAGTGGATAATATATAGAAATTACTATGTCCTGTCTACCCTAAGTCAAAAATTATAACTATGCAGGTAAATAAAATAAATAAAATATTTTACTACATACAATTTATTTAATAATTGTGTTTTTTATATATTTTTCCGTGTTAAGGCTATCTGGCACTATGAGCGCGTGATCCCTCCTATTTTTCGGAGTTAGGCTATAATTTGCTTCGGAGTTATAATATAAAAGCAATGTCCAATAAGCTGCCTTTAGATTCGAACTTTGATCTTGAACAACAATTTATTTTAAGGTTACCAGAATCTGCGGCCTTACTAATGTCCCAAGACATAGATTCTGGGGCTCCCTTTAAGGTGAGCTTAGGCTTATTTAAGTATCCCATACTTTAATTTTGCTTATTTTTCACTAATTGTTTTACGTGTATTTACTTTATATTACACAAACGTGCAGTTAGATCTTTATTAATTTTGTATTTCAAGTTATGCATCCTTATTTTTCCAAGTATACCTTTGTATAGTGATTCTTTGCGTCTTTTTGCTCTTAGAACTTTTTTTGTATTAGTCAGATACTTAGAATTAGCTGTTAACCTATAATCCATGTGTTTATCTATGTATAATATTGCTTAATTATCCTGTCTGTACTATATAAAAGTATATACTTTTCTATCTAAAAAGAATAAACTAGTATTATAAGTAAGCCTATTTATTAAACCAAAGACATCTCTATTTTATTTATAAATTCTTTTTGTGGATAGTTATGCCTTGATTTATGTATATATGTGTTTATTCCATTGGGCTTTTAATTTGCTTCTCTTTTTGGCTGCTTACCAAACTTCTTTTTAATTTTTGTTGTATTATTTATTTAGGACAATCTTACCATTGAGATGAAACCAGATATGCGGCATTCAATTGTTCGATATCGAGGTCAGGTTTATGATGGCCTTATAGTCGATTTGCCTTGTATTATCGAATCTGTTAAAACCACGGATCGAAAGAACTTTTATAAAATAGCTGATATTTGTCAGATGATGATGTGCACACAAGGCCAAGGAGACGGAGCCATTCGTGGATCAGCAGCATATCTTGACGCAAAGTCTGGTTCAAAATATGTTCCTAAGTAAGTTACGATTTCATTTAAGCTATTTTAAAATGTTTAACTTCTTTATTTTTTATTCTTGTATTCTCATGATACTCACTTTAGATAGCACATGCTTTGCAATAACACTTCAAAAATCGATCATGCATACCCAGGGGGTGGGTAATTACGCCTCGAGTAGCACAGATGGGGTGGCAGGAGCTGAGTGAAATATTTGGACCAGGGAGATATCAGCCGAATCTTAAGGGGCAAGAGGGAAACTGATAAGACCTAAGGTAGAAGGACTGCGTAACAATATGGCAGACTCTGATCAACATTCTCAGCACAAGATTGAAGGTGGGTGAGACCGCCAACGTGGAGTGTGGAGGGTTCTCATGAAAGCCGCTCTTAAATGCACACCACACTAGATTTAAACAAGCAAGGAAAAATTGTGGTAATGAAAGCGCGATACGCAAATATAGGATAGGTGAATAGCCCATGACAGGAGAGATACCAGAACTGTTTAGCACACATTTGGCCGAAGGATCGGCTTTGACGAGTAGTAATTTGGTTCTAAGAATGGCAAGACTCATTGATGCCGGCGAAATGTCTGGGAATGTACCACGTCCACAGTCTGATTTTGGAAATGATCAGACATGCAATGGGCTCCGGACTAGGTACATTCCTCTAAGTCTTCTTACCAATATTATCAAGTTGGGAAAACAAGGTCAAACAACTTCTATACAACTAAAGAAGACTGTGACCACACAAAAGGCCACACTACCTTGGTCTTCATATCTTCGATTCGTTCTTATTTATGTTTGAGGCGATGAGTTGAAGGAATTTGTAAGTTGGCCTCACCAGAAGCTGTGGGAGATTGCTTTGGAGCTGTGACTACATTTGAGCGAATTGGTCTTCAGCGCACCGCCCTTCGACTCTGATGAATCCTTCCTGATCTTTCGTCCTTCATGTGACGGACATCGTCAGAGGTAGACACCATGCTTAACGATAATTCACCTTTCTTGTTTGTTAAATATGGCTTGTGTCTTAGCTTTGAAGGATCCGAAACGTCGTAAATCGATGGAGTTGCGAGAAATCAGTATAGACCCAATGGAGCATGGCGTGTTATAGTTTTCCTTAGTATCTAAAGACGCAGGGGCAACCTCGCTCTCTAATGACTTTGCAGTTGAATTGCAACTTCTGAGAGACACTAGATTAATGACAATCTCATCGACAATGTCGACCTCGTCTGTTCAGACTGGCTTATCTTTCTGAGAGTTCTTGGGACCTCATTGATGCGGGTCCGCTGAGGCATAGCAATTAAGAATTTGAGTAATAAAGAGGAATCCTAATAGTTGCCCTAGAGCACACGAAGAAAATTAAGCAGACGTAGAAAGATAATTATGCACTATATTTAAAGTCGGAGGGCCGCCAAGTTTTGGTTGGACGACGCGAAATAGAGTCAAGATTATTCACGCATTAACGTGATCTCTGTGTCAAAGGATGTTGAGCCATGACTACGTAAGGGACGCAACAAAAACTAAACAATGAATGGGAAAATTTTGAGAATAGGTCACACTAGTTTGGTGAACTCTTAGTATTTGGTACATGCTTAGCACTGTACGGTTCTTATCAATCAGTTTTTATTAAATTGGTATCAGACATGCTTTGGGTGTGTTTCCTTAAGCTACAGCAACGATAAATAAGCAAGATTACCTAAGAGTAAACACAATAATTCACTGATAAAGCATTTTCTCTTTTTTATCACAATTGTTCACGAACTGTACGGTTTCACTTTTGGTTGGCACATTTGGTTTATTTGTTAGCTAACCTTCTATAGCCAATGATTTAATCTGCAATTAGATTTATTTTATGTCGCCTTTGACTCCTAACACATAGAATATTGCTTATAATCTGATAAATGCTCTGCTCAAAGTCAAGCTCCTGGACTCCACTAAGATTAGGGCTTCCATGGCTCACAAATTATTTAAAGGGAAGACCTTATCTTTTGGATCCCCACACAGGCAACGCTATGTCGTTTTTCACTCAATGCTCTAGTTGTCCAGCGGAAAGTATTCAAATTAAATTTAGTTATCGTGATAAGGAGCTATCCGTCCTAGGAGTATCAGCTTCTCAAGTTCCACATATCTATTAATAGCATTAATTCACGCCTTGCTCTTTCGAGTACACGTCTCTGCTGTTTACTTCGTGCTCCACATAACTTCCTTAGTCTAATGTACGTCCACGATAATGAAGTATTTTTGGCTTCAGAGATATCTTATCATCACCTGTTAAGTTTCATTTTGAAAATAAATTCTTCTCTTCTAAGATCAGCTTGCTGTTTTTTCTGGTTTCTTTCAGGATATTTTCATAGATCATCTCATATACTATATCGCGCTGAGATTATTTATCGCAGTAAATAAGAAAGCGGACTTTGAAATATATCATTCTCTATTTAACCGGAATTATAGTCCAAAGAATTTCTAATAAGCTTATTCTATCTCAATCATTATGCGCCTTAGTTCCTAATCTTGGATATAACCAGTAAATTCGTCCCAATACTCCACTTTTGTTACGCTCAACTAACAAAGGAGACGGAAGTCTATAAAAAACAAATGTACTCGCAAAAGAGAACTCAAATGGCTGGTGCAAGCCTTCGTCAAGGTGGGGGGTGTGTGCTAAAAATAGACTGAGTGTACAAACTTGTACTGCTTTTGAAGCCCACCTGTGCAGTTCCTGATAGAATGTGAGGGTGCTGTTACCTTTTAGTTAACTGTGCTAATTAGTTACAGCTAAATGAATAAATGCCTCCTATACAAATTATTTGGTGCAATCTGCTAGCAGGAATTTGGTACATAATCCACGGTCTGACGCTGTGGGTTGTGATAACTACTATAGCAGAGGATTTCGGACAAAGTGCGCCCAACTAAGTCGCCCTGACAACACGACCAAGTTGCGAAAACAAGGTCAATCCACTTCTATACATCGAAAGTAGACTGCGACCATACCGAAGGCCACGCCATCTTGGTCTTCATATTTTTAATTAATGATTTATTGCGTAATCTCACTTTACATGTTAAAATTAAAATAACTAGCTTGTGCCATTCGCATTCGAGGCACTACTTATTTTTACTTTAATGCCATGTCTCCTGAACACTAAAGTGCCTT